TGTCCAGCGATATACCCGTCCTCCTTTGAAACTAACCCGTAGCTTCTAAGCAAATAAAAATATAATTTTCTCTTATTTATTACAAACATTTATATAAATTGCACAATGAATTGGTAGTTACTAGGATTACATTTTACAGTAATAAAAGAAATACTAGGTTACTACTAATAGTAACCTAGTATTTTTTTTATGAAATAATTTATTTCTTTTATGAAATAATTTATTTCTTTTATGAAATAATTTACATGACAAAGGTCAATTTATCAGGAATGTCAATTTATCCGAAAGTGGTGCGTTTTTTTAAATGAATCAAATATGACGTTTGCCAGTTCCACAATCAAGCAAATGATTTACAGAGGTTTCTGCATTGAAATCTGAAAGGGATTTTCCATCTAGGTAGATGTTCTTAGTTGCGTTTAACGCTTCTTGTTTAAGACCAGTACGTAATGCGTTTTTTTGTAAGTTCATTGCTGAAAAGCTCCTTTCAACCACTGCAGTACTCCCAGACAGAGAAAACATCAATTCCACCATACGCAGTATGTTGCTGTATTTCTAGATTATAGGGTCATTTTAGAAGTGAGGCGCTAAACTCTTGTAAGATAGCAAAAATTGAAAATGTATCACGAACATTAGCGGCAAAATGGCCGTCCACGCGGACGTCGGATTCGAGAAATTCGTTGTCCGCGGGGAATTTTTGACAGCCGAAGACTGGCTGACGGGCTATTTTTCGAGCCCTGGGCGCTACGCATTAGTGGTGCGTTTCTCATTTTCCCAGTTGAGAATTTGAATGTCGTTTGTCATCAACCTTTTCTCGATTTCAGATGTTATAGCTCACACAATTTAGTTCGAGTTTTATTGCAAATAATCAATTTATAGAATTTATTAAAGAGTCTTATAAAGAAGAGTTATCAAAAGAAATATAAAAAAAATGAATTCCCTTTTAGTATGTCAAAAAATACCTACAAAAAACTAAGAAAAAATCAAATTGAGAATCAAATTGGAAATTGAGTCGTTCTTGTGGGAATTAAATTCTACAATTCTAAAAGCTATTCTTTTCTCCCAAATTTAATTATTTCGAGCAGACAATAATTTCAGTCATGAAATCATACAGAAAACTTACTTTATATGAATAAATATACTTTTTTCTGAGGAATTTGGGCTTTTGATCTTTTGAATAATGGCATGGGGTAGCTGCAATGTTGAAAATATGGTTCCAAATAGTTTAGGGAAGAGAGTTTTCGAAAGTTCATATTCTTTATTGCGAATTTACTTTTTGCGTATACACAAATCACACAATTTGAATAAAAATATTTTTTTATAAAATTTCGAAAACTTAGTTTTTTAAGCTTCGCAATTTCAAATGAATAAACACAGAATTTGAATGAAATAGGTCGAACCGTTTATGGAACATCAAATTTTAAATATAGCAACTTTTTTAAAATTTCAAAACTTAGAAAGTGTTTGATCAATTTTGTTCAAAAATTTTTTGCGATAAATAGAGAAATACCTAAATATAGTAAAATAAACCAAATCTGATGAAAGAGAGGTAAGTTTAAACGAAGGTTGTGTTTTTAAGTAAGTGCTGTTTGAAAATAAAAATTTAAACAAGCAATTTCAGATTCTACTTTTTTTCAGTATAGTTGCCAAGTTTGTTTAAACACCTATCATAACTTGCAACGAGATTTAGAATTCCCTCTTCCTGCGAACCTGCCGCCAGCTCCGTTAATCAAGTGGTCACGTCCGTTTTGACGATTCGACATCGTTGTAGTGATTACCACCAAAATGATGTTTGAAATATCGGAAAAGATGAAAATCACTCAGCGCAAGATCTAGGCTGTAGGAAGGGGTGGTCCGAAACTTCCCAACAAGAAGAGTCCAATAAAACTGGGATCTGAGCTCCGGAGAGTGTCCCTGTTATAGAGTAGCAAAATTCCCTGTCATCATGGCAGAGGATTTTGCTACTTCACAAATCTGCCGGTGATGGTATGCAGCAGAAAGGTTTTTTTGCTGACAAAAAAAAAAACGCATCACTGACTGTCGTGCATGGTGGGCGATTTGTAAAAAATGTACATTTTAGAGACACAGAACTGACCTTTCAGGTTACCTACTCAGCTGTAACTGAGCTCAGTTAAATCTAGTAAGAAGGGCTGGGACAGTCTGGTCAGTAGGGCACTGGGCCCATGTCCAAGAGTTCGTGAGTTCGATCCCTGCCTGCCGAAGACTCCCCGTGTGGTAAATGGTGACTGATGCACGTTAAATCTGTCGAGTCGCAAAGTCCTCCACGTTCCCATAACAAATCAATACCTCTGGGGATAATGATCCAGAAGTTTCCTTGTCTTCTGGATTGGTTCAAAATGACAAGGCTACGGAGTTGAACATTAGTATTCGAAAACCCAAAATTGGGTTGGCTGTTCAATGACGGATGTAAAAAAAAAGCACATTAAAGTATAGGCTCACAAAACATTAATAATGATTTTTTACATTTAAAAATCTGATCATTAAATTAAAATTTGCTTGCACATTTTTTGCGCAGTATGCAAAAGATGTCTAGTTATAAAATATTAGAGATTCGAAGGTCATGGTTAGAGAGTTTAAAATAAATATTTCATTCTTCAAATAATTCATTCGTTTCGTTCTTCATGCAGATATATTTTAGAATTAATAATAATTAATAAATAATATGCACTAATTCGAATATAAAATACAGTAAGTGACAGAAAATTTTAATAAATTAAATTTCATAATCACTTTTCATATAAATGAAAATATTAAATTGATTTTTTTATACTTCATCGTTTTAATTTAAAAAAAAACGATTATTTTTAATTTAGAAAAAAAGTCTATGTTTTAAAGCTTTTACTTCATAATTTAATTGAAATAAAAGCAAAAGTGTTAATAAATTTTTTTATAGTTTTTTTATTTTAATTTAATGAATAGAATAAAAAACGCTTAATGCAAATTTAGTAAATTTAACGTTTGAAAGCTTTAAACTCATAAATAATTTAATTTTATTAGATTTACATTATAATATTTATTATTTATATTATTTTTTCAAATTTAATTATTTTAATTTAATATTTCACCTGTTAGTGTTCCAATAATGCAATATGGATTTTGAGCTGGATTTTAACGAGAAATTAAAGTTTAAATAATATTTTATACACACACATTTAAAATTTACATTAAAAGTACTTCTTAATTTCAGGTTTACTGCGATTTCATAATTATCTAATTTTTTTGATAAATATTGTTTGATGCAATTTGTTAATTTTCTACCTCTTGGAATGTAATTAACCAAAACTAAAACTTTTTTGTAGCGACTTTTTTTACGATATTTTATAGCGACTATTTTTACGATATTTTATAGCGACTTTTTCATAACGATATTTTTACGAATTTTATTTGAATAACATATTTATAATCTATAACATATATTGAATAACAATAGGTAGTCTGTTAGCAGTTTTAAAATAATATTCATTATTTTTCCCAAACCAAAAAAATATGTAGTTTAATATTTAAATGTCTAATATTTAATTGATTGCTTAATTTAAATTGAAAGATGATACTTTAAATTCATTCCCTAACAAACACTTATAACTTTAACATAAATACTGTTTCAATAAAAAAATATGTAAATAAAAGTTAAAATGTAAGTTAATTACTAATCACTAAAAGTTATCTATAAAATGACTGTATGATTAAAAGTGCATCATATCAAAAATGTTAAAGAATTTTAAAAAGTTTTTTTCAATTGTTTAATAAACTTTTGTATAATTTTATATAATAAACTTTTGCATTTGTTTTCACAGAGGGAGGAGTCGAAAAATGTTTAACTTGCTTGCACAAGCGGGCGGTGAGCTCAAAAAATTGGAGATCAAATGAGGTAAAATAATTTCTTACTGAACATTAATTTCTTCATTACAGTGTTGAACCCGTACCAGGAAATTACTAAAAGTTAACCTCCTCTTCAAAAAAAAAAAAAAAAAAAAAAAAAAAAAAAAAAAAAAAAAAAAAATCCTTGTAGTTTACGGCCTTGTCTGCTAAGTTTTACGGTGGTGAAGTTTTATAACAGCTAAGTTGCGAAGTTATGGATCGACGAAGTTATGGGAGCCGGGGAAGTTTCATACCAAAAAATTTATGGATAGGCGAATTCTCATACCTCGAAGCTATGGATCAACGGAAATGTGGCAACGAAGTTTTGACTCCAAACTAAATAATAACAATTTTAGATTCATTAGACAAAAAAAAAATCTTTTTTGATCATAATTCTGAAATAATTCAATTTCTCAAATTACTCTTGTAATAATTCTTTTTTAATATTGCATAGTTATATATTTTAAAGGTATTTTCTTGTATTTTTTCAACAGTCATTGAGATAAGTATAGGATAAGTATTTTGCTCCAAACGCTACGTAACTATTCGGTGATTTTCTCCGAACAGAAAAAGTTTCACTGTATAACCTATCATTATTCAGACAGTAATGAAGGTTATTCAGCTAATAGTACAACTTCTTTTTTGTCTGTGCATTATTTCATACAATTTATAAAAAAAGTCATTATTTTTAGATTTAAGTACGGCATTTTAATAAACTTTATGAGAAATGCCGTTTGATTTTTAAGACTATTCTTTCAAATATTCATGTTTTCAGAAACAAATTTGTCATTTTCGTAGCAAAACTAATGATGTAATTTTTCAAGCCAACGTAATTTAAGGTAATATGGTTTCCATAATTGTAATCCTCATTTATAAACCTGGCTTTTTTTTCATAAAGAAATGATAACTTTTTGGGAAGTGAAGAGCTTTTGTGATGCTCATATAGGTCTAAAACTCTGAAAAAAGCCTTTCTTAAAATGAATAAATAAAATTATACAATTGTCCAAAGGAAAGATCTATGCTTTTTTTACAATTTTTTTTTATGAATTTAAATATCCTCACTGAATCTTGTCTTGAAAGTCTTAAATACTCTTGCAAGTTGAGACTTTGAAAAAAAAATTGAAATGGAAGTTGTTGTTGCAATAAATCCTGTGAGGCATGTTATGCAAATCAAAGGAAACAAAACTAACGGCTTTTCCCTATTCGGAGTAGAAGGCAAACTTCTACAAATTATTGCAGACGTATTAAAATTCAATCTAAATTTTGTGTCACCAATGGACAGAGAGTGGGGATCGAGAAAGCCAAATGGAAGTTGGACAGGTTTAATTGGAATGCTGCAGAGAAATGAAGCCGACTTCGCAATGACATTCTTAAAGATATCAGAGGATATTCAGACTGTTGTTGATACAAGTACACCTTACATGCAGCAAACAGTAAAATTTATTGTTGGTAAGCCTAAACCACAATCAACTTCTGTTGCATTCTTAAAAACGTTTGACGTTTCCGTTTGGATAGGCGTTGGAGTAACATTACTAGTTTTACTGCTTCTTTTCAAGATTTTGTTAAAGGAATCCTTTGGAAATACGTTCTTAGAATTTGTTGGGAATTTGGTAAAGCAACCAACTACGATACCAATCACATCAAAACCACGAGCATTGCTTTTGGGGTTCTGGTGGTTCTATGCGTTAGTGATATCGTTTTCGTATTCGGCTGCTGTGCTGTCTTTTCTTTCTTATCCAATGAATGAGAAAGCCATACGGAATTTTGAAGATCTATCAAAAGCTGTGGAAAAAGGAACGCATAAGTGTTTAATATTACGTGGTTCCAAATTCGAGTACTTGTTAATGAAAGCAACCGATTCTTATTTTCAAGATTTGGGTAAATTGATTGAAAGAAACACTTGGTACTTTAATATTGGGGAAAGAATAACTGAAAAAGAATTCACGGATACGGCAATAATGGATTTAGAATTCATGCTGGAAGTAAACTACGGATTTCTTGAACAAGACTCCACACTTAAGTCAACTGATTATTTTGAGTCACCTTTTACTGCCATATCGATAAATAGGAGATTTTGCTGTAAAAGTGCCGTAAATACTGTTATATCGAGAATTCTTAGTTCTGGAATTTTCAATAAAATAATTAAAGATGAATTGGTATTGAACTGGATTTCCCAAATACACGAACCATCTGTGGAGCTGAAAGCAGTTACATTAGAAGATGTGCGTGGCCCTTTCTTAATTTTATTTGGAGGATATATTATTGCTATATTTTTTTTAATTGCTGAAAGAATATATTACTCAATGAGAGGAAATAATATATCACAAAAGAGGAGTATAAACACGACATAGTAATTGAAGGACCTCTACTGAATTTCTTCTTAGATAGCCTTCTGGAATCCCTTCAGTTAATTATAGCCAGGCATGCACCGTCAATATTTTAGAATTTATCACGCCTTTATATCTAGTTATATCCAACCTAGGCCTTATATTCCTGTACTTCACGACCTACGTCTTTAACTTAGCACGTGGCAGTAGGCAGGAAACACTTGGCACTTAGGGCATCATATTTTATTTTGATTGTATTTTAAAATTTACGACATGATTAGCACATTGACTGATGATGAAATTAAATATTTTTATTGCAATAATTATAATGAAAATTTTTAAATATTAGATGAAATTTCTAGCAATAGGTAAATTCTTCACTGAATACAAAAAATCTTCTAAAATGTTAAAAACTGCAGTGCATTAGTACTACCTCAAAGAAAATGCATTACACTGTAGTAAACCTGCAGGAGAAAAATTCTTTGGATATTGCTGAAAACTGTCTTACTCTATAATGTAGTTATCATTTTTTATTTTCGAAGATAGCGGGATGGGGAGGGTCTCGAACATGTTTACTGTCCAAGTCTAAGTTCATTTGTAGCTTCATCTGTCGAAAAAGTCCCCTAATCAATACGTCTTCTGTCTAAAGTTTAGTGCTAAAACATTTAGAGAGCCGTGGTTTGCAAATTACAACGCTTGACACGAGAATATTAATACGAGTTTATAGACTTTGCAATGTATAAGTGTTAAATATTACTTCAGTAGGAAAAAGAAAGGTTATCTTCAGAAAATGCTCGATTTTTTTCACGAATAAATGCATAACAAATGACTTTTCTTTTGAAGATACAGTTGAGATTTTATTACATACATTTAATGAATAATAATGTGAGGCGCGTAAACCTTCGAGTGAGATTGATATTTTAATTATTATTCATTCAAATAAAATTGTACTTCAAAATTTCCAGGCTTAAAATAATTCCTTAAGGACACCAATCAGTACCAGTGGCGTTCTGCCATTTCTTATAGCAGGGATCGAACTCGGCAAATGCAATATTCTCTTATCTCAACCGTAAAAACCTTGTAAGTCTATTTTTTTTTTGTGGCCGTCTATTGAGGTGAGTTTTCATTGTCGGGATTGGAAAAAGCTTAAAATGTTCCACGCAAGGTGACTAAAGAGCTTGTTGAGACTCAAGGAATGTGCTGATAGGATTAAAAAAATATTAACATTGTGTGACAAGACGCTTTTTGCAGGATTGTTTTTCGTTGTTCAAATTCTATTCATTTTTCCGGATTCGGTAGTTTGACTTATTTTGAACTGCTCCCCAATCATTCTAACTGTCCATCAAATACCTGGAAACTAAAGATCTCTGATTTTGTCAACATTTCCACCGGTAATTGCAATCGAAGTCCTTTCACTAATGTGAGATTCATCTTCCAACATTCTTTTCCTTCTGGAAATGCCTTTAATCACTCAAAATCAATCTAGGTTACTGACAAAACACTGTAGGCCTGCTGGAGTCCGAAACTAATTCTGATGACACACCGTTGCTCCAGATTCAGGTCTTTCATTGCTTGACAGTATCACCAAAACAAACTTAACAAGTAATATATTTTTGGACAACGACATCAATCTAACAAGTTTATTATAGTACTGCATGTGTAAGAGAGGTTCATCTATCCCTTCTTCAAGTTTGATGTTTCAAGCTATGCATATTAAGAGCTACGTTGCTAGCCTGACTATTTAATTTATATACCTTGTATATGCGAAAGCAGTATTACGCCCAATTCCATGACTTACGTGAAGTTCTATGTTCCATGGTTCACCAGAAACTAATCAATATATCGTTCATGGGCTGCAATAGTGGCACCACTCAAACAATACTCGTTTCGGACTAAGAACAGGTGTAAATATGAAAATACACATTTTTCAGCAGCAACACTAGCACAACTCATAATTAAACTTGAAGGTAATCTTCGTTTAAGCAAACTAAAGCATTTCTTATGCATTTTGCTTAGCAATGAAAACTTTAAAGCCACTTTTCTCAAAACTAGATTTTTTTGAGTTGTGCTGCTGTTGCAGCCCGTGAACGATGTGTCGAAAAATATTTTGCAAATAACTACAATTTCTTGAAATAGTTGGTAGTATTAAATTTGAATGCATAAAGTTTTTTTAAATTCTATATATTCTATATATATACATTCTATATAGACATAGATAGACATCTTAAATTCTACATATATATCCAAATTTTATTGTCCAACTCTGTAAAGGATGTAACATAAGTAAATTTATATTACGTATTATTCAACAGTTGCAGCTAGGAGCTTGGTAAACAGCACACCTTTACATTTGATCCCAAGAAACCTAAGGTCACTCTCGGGGTTGCTTCGTTTGAAGGTCTTTGTTCATCACAATCAATTCATACTGATTGTACTGATAGGACACGGATGGGCGCATTTCAAGAATTCACCATTCCCCGGATGCCCCTTTTTGGGGCGGGGTGTAGTTTATATATATATATATATATATATATATATATTGACAATCACATTGTCGATTTAGTAAATGTCCGAAATCTATACGATTTCTAGTTAAGTGCCACTAATCGGTTAATCGGTTTACATTTGCCCGGTATGCCCAACATCAATGTTTTTTCAGGTCAAGTGACACAGTCCAGTATGCATTTAACCTGTACTCCGAACCCAGATGTTTCTCCTAACCTATCCTCAGTAGACACTAAAATATCGAATAAATATAATAATATCAGTGAATAAATTAATATAAAATCAGATGTAACAAATATTTTTGGACATTAACTAAAACGACTATGTGATTGTTGACATTCACCAGTGAGAGTCAACATTCTCTTGATTTCGATATATATATATATATATTCTTTTAT